TGCGGAGAAGCAGTGACTGAGCTCTTCACCTTATCTCTATGGCTGAGCACAGCCACCCTGCTGAGGAAACTCATTTCTGCTGCTTGTATCCACAATCTCATTCTTTCGGTCACTACCCAGGGCTTGTGACCACAGGTGAGTTTCGGAACATAGATCAACTGCTAAATTGATAGCTTTGTCTTCCAGCTCAACTCCATCTTTACAATGACAGACCGTTACAACGTCCACATTACTGCCGATGCAGCACCAGTCTGAATGTCGCCCTCCTCCTCCCTTCTTCTTTAACCAATGAACAAATGTTAATTATGTAAATCTTTACTTTTATGTATTTCCATATTAGTACTTATGTAGTACTTATGTTATTTCATTTGGTTGTCCTTCTACCTTGTTCATTATGCAGTCTGGAGTGGCAGCAGTTTCATTTTACTGCTGGGGTACAACCATATTCATGCAGATGAAAAATCAAAATCTTCAGTCTTGAGCATCGTTAAGAAGGAAAACAGATTTTCCTGCTCGTAGGTCAAGGTTTATTTTTGTTTTACAATCACTGGCGCAATTATAGCAGTTTAATATTGTAATGTATACTTTTTGTTTATAAATAGATTTGTTTGTATCAGTAGATATTCTGTACAATAACACCATGAATAAGTCTGCATCGACATGGTCTGTTTCAAGGGATTGTTGAAGCTAGTTTTAACTGCACTGTTTGTTAAAAACTTAATCTTTTCAGCTGAGGCCCAAAAGTTCTGGATATCTTATGCTTAACCGTAAGCATGTGCCACATCTATAATACGTGATACGAGATACAATCCTACAAACCTCTTTAGCAATGAACTTCAAAGCAATATTGCCTTTATTTACCTGTGTCATGTCCTTAATGTGTCAGTAACTGCACGTTGCACCATGGACATGACACACGTTTACATTCTGTCAGTCTTCTATAAAGTCCTGGCAGTGATACTTTCAAGGTTTTCAAAGTTGTGTTTATTTTACATTAATCTCACAGTATTCCAGAAAAATAGAACTGCATAGAAGGATTAACACAAAACAAGTCACGGATTCATGCCAAATACCTTTAGAAATGGCCTGTAGCTATAAGGTTGCTATTTAATTTGCCTTCCTGTGGAGGCAGGTCTGAAATGAACCGGTTATTCCTGTCTGAAATGTGCGGATGACTGCAAACTGAAATTTATTTATTTTTCTCAGATAATATCGATCTGCTCTGCACCCGTAGTTTCCTAATAGGCTCCGGACCCCCAACCCCCCGTGACCCTGAACAGAGTAAGCAGTCACAGAAAATGGATTGATCATATTACCTGCTTTTAATAAACAGATTTTCCAAAAGAATTTTATGCAGCATAAAGAAGTATATAAACAGGTCTGAATTAAAGCTCCAGTCTGATTGCTGGTATGTGTTTTACAGAATATGTAGCATTATGCAGTTCTGGGAGGAGACACACCCCCCAGTGCAGTACGGTTAGTCAGCAAAGCTGCATCCTCATTAATCTCCCACCTAGTCCTGCTCCCTTAGTCCTGCTGCTCTGTTTGACTCGCAGCTCTGTATCTCTGCAGAGCTCTAACCTGGCAAAGTGGGCAAACATGCATACAAACACGACCCAGAGCAGTGAGATGGACGTGATCTTTGAGGAGATCCCTGGTTTGTCATCTTCTTCTTCTTCCTTGACCTTTGATGGTGAGGTCAGGCCTCTGGCTCCAGGTCTCTCCTGCTAGTGGATCTCCACCCCTGGACCTCAGAAGCTGTGTTGAACTTGCTTGGTGTCACAGACTCAGGGTCTCTTCAAACCTGCCACTTTAACTAGAAAAAGATTTTCTCCACGTGTTAAACCTTGTAACTCATGTGTTTAGTTTGGTCGACTCTTTTAAGAGTTAAAGAGTTTGCCCTAAAAGGTTATTTTACTTATATGAATTAATTGCTTTACAAAGTTAATGTAATAGCTGTATAATGAAATGTGATCAAGATAATCCAAGTAATGTGGTACTTTCTGATAATGCAAGATAATCCAAGTAATGTGGTACTTTCTGATCAATAATACATATTCATTTTCATACATCATATGAAAGGTTTATCTTTAAATCATTAGCAGGATAACTGGTTGGAAGATGGATGGCGATAGTTTGCATGTATATCTGAATGATCTGTATTTAATATTTATCGGTATTTTACATGTCGTGTTATTTTCACATTCAACTAAGCTTTGGTAGATACTGTCTTAAGCCTCTTCAAGAGAAGCACTTATTTATTAGCTTCTGGCATGAATACAGCCTCTATAATTGCTTTGATCTCTTTGATATTTTCCTCAGATTTTGGAGTTGAAAGGGACTTAATTTCACTTTCAATTAGATTCAGTTTGACTTCTGCCATTTGATGAGATTCCTCGTTTTTCATCTTCACAACATCTGTTATGGAAGACAGAGTGATTTCACAGGCACTTCGAATTTTTTGGCGCTCATTCAAAAAATCTGGGCTGGCGGGATCCAGAGCCATGAGTTTGCCCAGGCTGCTGATTGTGTCCATCAGGTGCTTCTCAGAAACTTCAACGTAGGTCCCAGAAATTGTGCTAATCAAGCTGGCTACATTGGATGCATAGAAGGCTTGCTGGTAGATTGCATCTTTTATAAGCATTTTTCTAGTGTTTGGTATATTTTTTGTAAGTTCTTGGGGGAAAACATAAAGACAAGACTGGATGTTCTTTGACATGACCTCAGTTGAGTGCACCATCTTCTCCCATGCCTGTTTCACTGTTCCCATGACATCTTGACACTTGGTAAGGATGCAAACCATTGTGTTGAAATCAGTGTCTTTCACATCAAGACTTGTTGTAGCTAAGATCTCTGACAGCTCCTTCTGGTTTTTCTCCAGCTTTTCCAAACTCTGCTGTTGCAGCTGTCTCACCTTCTCCAGCTGGACTCGACTCTGCTCTATGCGAAGACGGATATTCTCCTTGAGCATTTTACCTGCAGTTACCTTCCCGCCGTATTCAGCATGCCGTAGAAGTTGCGGTGCAAGGTTAATACTTTCTTGCAGTGTTTGTCTATCAAGATCAAACTTCTGACCTCTTGCCAACAGTGTTTGTATTCTTGCCACGATTTCTTCTGTCTTGCTGTCTTCACACGTCCCTCTCAGGTCACCTCCAATCCTGGTGAGCTCAGAGCACAGGTCCATAGCTTCCTTGCATAAGGCGATTAGAGTGATTTTTTCATTACAGTCTTTTTCATTCTCCACGGATGTTTTAATCTGCTCAAATTGTTCCACCAGGTATGACGCCTTTGCTTTCCCTTCCGTTTGATCAGTGATATCAAACCATTTAACTTGGTTTCCATCAACAAAGTTGCTCATTGTCTCGGTCAAACGCACAAGCGGCCTTGCTTTGGAATACACATTACACACAGAAGAAAAATCCTCACTTTCATTTTCTGCATTAGGACAAGCAGACATAAAAAGCATTACTGGTTTTTCTTGGTGTAATTCTGCTGCTCTCTGTATAGTGCTTTCTGCGTCGCTTATCCATTTATCCATGTCCTCAAATAGAATCTTGCCCAATTTATTTTTTATGAAGTTTGAAACTGCTTCCTGTACAGAATCTGCCAAGCTATACTGGACCATTTGTGGTGCATGTTCCCCTTTTTCACGGATGCTTTCTTGTAACAGTTCTTCAATCAGGTTTTTGACATAGGTAATGTTTTGTTCAGTAAGCTTAGCCAGCTTTGTGCAGTCTTCTGATATAGTAGCTGCATTCTCCTTTTGGTCAGCAGGAGGATTTTGGACCAGCTCATCACTGATCTCACTGATTGTCTTCTCTATGTAAACTGGCACTTTGACAGCTTGAAGACGGATCTGCTCCATGCTTTTGTGAGCCTCATTGAATGCTGTCCATCCAGAATTAGCCACTTGCATAAGACAGGCACGGAATGAGTCTGGGTACTTAATGTACTTAAAGCCTCCTTCTGGAGGGCTAATGGAGAAATCTACAGTAGAGGAGATAGAGACCAGCTCACCCAGAATGGCTACAGCGAGTGGAACATTCATCAGGTACTCCTCCCAGTTAGCATATGGCTGCATAGCCATTTCGGTGTCATCTCCAACCCCCCCGGCTGCCATTCTCGTCTTTCCTAAAAAAGAAAACAAAAGTGTTCTGAAAAACCTCAGAATTCAGAGATGGCATTCTAAGTATTAAATGTTTTAGCTCATGATATTTTCAGAGTATATTTCAGTTACTGTATATTAATCCTCATGCCGCTTTGCTATAAAAGCTGCTAAAAGACCAGTGGAAGGACTAAATGTTTTTATACCACAACAACATTGCGTGTCACTGAAAACAGTTTGACCGAAAATAGTTCAGTTTACAGCAGCAAGTTTTATTGTTAATTATACATCCACAGCACGTTGAAGTCTGGGTGATGTTTTTTGTTTGTGTAGGTGGTGATCACCATCTCTGTGCCTTCATGGAAGCCAGGTAACTAAACCCAGCTGCCCGCCCTTTTTTGGAATAATTCCCTTGCTAGGGTGGGCTGTGTCGATCACTCTTGATTTAAGCCTATGTGGAGAACTAGGTCAGGGATGCGTGGGTGGGGAGGGGTGCTGTACCACTGCCTGCTCAGAAGATGGCGCCCTGGAGCAACACTGGATAAGTCTGGATGGTTTAAACAGCGGTGTTAAATTTTGTCACTGATGTGTCTTTTTGGTACATACCATCCATTTATCCATCTTTTAACCAAAGGAATAAGGGCACATGGCTGGGGTACCCCCCACTCCAATACCTCTATTAATTTTCTACTGCTAAAAAGATTAAAAATGGATCAAACTTAATAATTAAACAAGAACACCTGTTTAGGAACATTAAAACACAAATGTAAAATACATTTATGTAAATGCATATACAGCTCTGGAAAGAATTAAGAGACCACCCCATATTTTTTAAGAAACTGCATATTGTTAAATCCTGGTTTAATCGTGGTTCTGCTGGCAGAAGGCTACGCTGAGCAGCAGGTTGCGTCCTGGTTCAAAATTTCTAAGACGGCAGTACACAAGAACAAGGTGAAGCTCGAGACACTGGGAACAACCAAAGACTAGACAAATAGGGGGCAGAAGCGACATTCTAAAGCCAGAGATGACAATCAACTAATCCAGCAGCACCTCATGAACTGTTTATCAATGAGAAACAGAGACTGGAGACTCCAGACTGGAGTTTACAAAAAAAAAACTCTAGATTCTACACAGGCACACAGCCATCATTTTTTTTTCTAGAGCTATATATTTATATCCAAATCGAGGAAGATTTTATAGTTTTAAGATATTTTAAAATACAAATGCCACATGAATATATCATGTCACAAACTTCATATATATATAAACAATAAGAGAGCTACAGTATTCATTATTTTTGTCATATTTCATTTTTTACTCTAAGATGTTTTTTAATCACGCATGCAGAAAGATATTGTAGAGAGTCAAATACCTGATATGTAGAGTAGATTATATACTTGCAGATACTTGCTTCTTGCCTGATTTTCTGATCGCTAAGGAGGTGCTTTTGTCAGCAGCTTTTATTCTCTGCCTTCAGCACCCTGCCCCCGTTTCCCCGCGCATGTGCGCACACGCCCACCACGCCTGTGCATCTTGCTGCTTAACACACCCACTGTGCCTCGCTTAAAAGTCCTGTCGTTGTCCCAAAAAGCTGAAGTAAAAAGCATTAGGAATTATGAAATACTTGTTGAGAGATCTGTTCAACGTTGTAGCTGGAATTGCTCACCAAATCAGTTCTATACAGGGCAAGAATTTGTCTTGACTGGGTCTCATCATCTGGGTGTAGCTGTCGCCAGAATATTGGTTGCTTATGCATTTATTTAATATTTATTTGTATTTTATCCAACGAATATGTTTTGTTTCATTTTGTTGCCAGCGTATCATTATTTGCAATATTATTTGTAAAATTATTAATTTGGCGTTTTTCTGGTAACAGTGCCTCCTACTGTTCAGCGGAAGGAGCTCCTACATTTACGTGATCACGTGAACTAGCGTAATGAGCAACGGAAAGAAAGCAAGGTTAGCAAGCGGCATGGGTGTAACCCCCTAAATAGGTATACTTAAAGGTTCAATATGGAACCTTTTGTTTTAAGAGTATACACAAATCTATGTGCTGCTTTTATGCATTTTAAACTTAAAAACGGTCGATCGGTGCCGACCCTAACACCACAGGAAGGTTAATAATGTCTCTAAGGACAGTAGGAAACAGGGGTCTTTGACCCTCGCTTCACTAGACGCTGCGGGTGGCTTCACAAATGCTTTGCTGCATACCTCGGTTGTAACGAGTGGTTATTTCAGTCAAAGTTGCTCTTCTATCAGCTTGAATCAGTCGGCCC